AATTAAATACTTGATGCAGTCAGGAAGACAAAACATATTAAAGAAACAACATCAATTATAATATAAATATCTTTCTTCTCATGACAAGAAGTTATAGTTGTTAACATAAATTCAAAGTTCAAGGGTGAAAATTCTGGAAATAGTCACACTAGAGTTATGGACCTTGTCACACAACATGTGTGTAATGATAAGAAATATACATTAGAAGTTTGAAGAAGATACCTTAAAAAGTAAAGAAGTTATAAAGGGAAATAAATCTGAAAAAATTGCTTCAAGAGTTAAAAACCTTGTCACATAAGATGTGTTTGATGATAAGGAATATGTATTTGAAGTTTGATGTAGATACCTTTAAAACTAAAGAAGTTATAGTGAAAAATAGCATTTTTCAAGTAAAAAATCTTAGTTAACGGGGATATAATTCTTGCAATATTGGTGCTAGAGTTATGAACATTGTCACATAAGATGTGGTTAATGGTAAGGAATATATATTTGAAGTATTAAGTTGATGCCTTAAGAAATAAAGAAGTAACAGTAAAAAATAAAAAATTTTAAGGAAAATTCTAAGTTCAAGGGGAGATGAATCTGAAAATATTGGTGCTAGAGCTATGAACCTTATCGCATAAGATGTGGTTGATGATAAGAAACATACATTTGAAGTTTGAAGTTAATACCTTCAGAAATGAAAAGGTTCTAGTAAAAAAAAAAATGTTTTTGTGAGGAAAATTCTAAGTTCAAGGGGAGATAAATCTGAAAATATTGGTGCTAGAGTTATAATCCTTGTCACATAAGATGTGGTTGATGATAAGGAACATATATTTATACCCCGAAACGAAGTTTAGGGGGGTATATAGGAGTCACTCGTTGGTCGGTCGGTTGGTCGGTCGGTCGGTCCTGCGGTTCGTTGCATTTTCCTTGTCCGGAGCATAACTTGAAGACTAATGATTGGAATTCAATACAACTTCATACAATGATCAAGCACATTGAGAGGAAGTGCAGTGCACAAGAACCATAACTCTGTCTTGACTAATTACAGAGTTATTGCCCTTTGTTACTTTTCCTTGTCCGGAGCATAACTTGAAAACTCCTGGTTGGAATTTAAAACACCTTCATACAATAGTCAAGCACAATAAGGGGAAGTGCAGTGCACAAGAACCATAACTCTATCTAAAGTAATTACAGAGTCATTGCCCTTTATTACTTTTTCATAGCTTTCTTTTGTCCGGACCATAACTTGAAGACTAATGGTTGGAATTCAATATCATTTCATACAATTATCAAGCACATTGAGAGGAAGTGCAGTGTATAAGAATCATAACTCCATCTTGACTAATTACAGAGTTATTGCCCTTTGTTACTTTTCATTGTCCAGTGCATAACTTGAAAACTACTGGTTGGAATTCAATTCAACTTAATACAATCATCAAGCACATTTAGAGAAAGTGCAGTGTACAAGAACCATAACACTATCATAACTAATTACAGAGTTATTGCCCTTTGTTACTTTTCCTTGTCCGGAGCATAACTTGAAAAGTACTGGTTGGAATTCAAAACAACTTCATACAATGGTCAAGCACAATAAGAGGAAGTGCAGTGCACAAGAACCATAACCCTGTCCAGAGTAATTATAGAGTTACTTTGTTACTTTGTCATTGCTTTTTTCTTGTCCAGAGCAAAACTTGAAAACTACTAGTTGGAATTCAATACAATTTCATACAACGGTCAAGTATATTGAGAGGAAGCGCAGTGCACAGAAACCATAACTCTTTCTTGACTCAATTCAGAGTTTTTGCCCTTTGTTACTTATCATTGTCTAGTGCATAACTTGAAAATTAATGGTTGGAATTCAATGAAACTTCATGGTCAAGGGCAGTGAGATGAAGTGCAGTGCACAAGAACCATAACTCTATTTGGACAAATTACAGTTATTACCCTTTGTTACTTTTTTTATCCAGTGCATAACTTGAAAACTAGTAGTTGGAATTAAATACAACTTAATACAATTGCCAAGGGCAATGAGAGGAAGTGTAGTGTACAATAACCATAACTCCATCTTCAGTATTTGTAGAGTTATTGCCCTTTGTTCCTTTTCCTTGTCAGGTGCATAACTTAAAAACTAATGTTTAGAATTCAATTGGTCAAGAATGAGAGGAAGTGCAGTGCTCAAGAAGCGTAACTCTTTCTTGCCTTATTACAGAGTAATTCAATAAAACTCCATCATTGGTCAACCACATTAAAAAGAAATGCAACATACAAGAACCACAACTATCTTTAATTGCCCACAACCATAACTCTATTTCAATTCTTTTGCAAGGTATTCTGTTACTAGTAACTTCCTCATTTCCGAAGCACTCTTGCGGGGTATAACTCACATTTAGTGATAGTTCTAGTTGAAGTTTGAAGTTGATACCTTAAGAAATGAAAAAGTTATACTGATAAATATTTTACTGCATCAAAACTTCAACGCGGACGCCGGGGCGAGTAAAAATGACAATGCACTTTGTGGTTGGCGAAACGTTACGAAAAAATAAATCCCTTGTGGCGTACGGGTTTGGGGCATCAGAATTGCAGCTACATCATCGTTAGAGGCGACTAAATGGGTTCGAATAACTGGAGTCAATGCCTCTCTTATCTACAGCAGTTGAGGTGGTTTTAATCCATGTTGTTGCTTTAAGCTTGCTACAATTGAGGTTTACCAAAATCATCTTTCCTGTTCCGACGCCTTATGACCTAAACTGTGTTGGTGCGCCGTTTGACCAAACAAACAAACATAACATGTTAAAAAACTTTTCAAAAGTCCAAACGAAAATCCGACACAATCGAATTATTGCAATAATGTAGAAATGCATATTTGATTATATATTTATTAAATATATATAATAATAATAACAAGAAACATGGCAATGCCATGAAACCAGGTTTTCAATTATCACCATTGTAGATATATATATTGTAGTTGAAATACAAGCAACAGACAATGTAACTATGTGCAATGTAAATCATGAATAATGAATTTTCTATTTTTAGTAACTGTAACCTTGACCCTAGGGGGCCAAAAATCCATCTCAAGTGAGGTCTTTATAAAAACTTGTTTTACACCAAATTTCATAAAAATATCTTATTTCAAACTAGTTATTGACCGGAAGCCTATTTTCTATTTTTAGTAACAGTGACCCGACTGGAAACAGATTTTCAATTTTAGCAACAATAACCTTGACCTTGACTCTACAGGACCCAAAAGCAGGCAGATGAGCTGGCAGGCATGCAACAACCTAGAGAGTTTCTGTTTTGTAACTAAATAAAGTTTGTTGTGATTAAAAAGATATATTACACTAAAAATTAAATTTTATGGAAAAAACAAAAGGCCATAATCACAAAACTCCGACAATATACATCAGGGCACTTGAAGATAAAGCTAGTCTGTGAACGTTTGAACAAAATCCCTAGAGAAATGTAGGAGGAGTTGTGCACAGAAGAAGTTGTTCACTACATACTCTATATAAGGAAAAAAAAACAAAAGGCCATAATTAGGTAAAAAGTTATCCAATCACAAAACCCCAACAATATGCATCAGGGCACTTGATAACAAAGCTTCTGTGAAAGTTTGAACAAAATCCCTTGAGAAATGTAGGAGGAGTTGCGCACAGAAGAAATTGTTCACTATATATTCTGTATAAAGAAAAAAAACAAAGGGCCATAATTAGGTCAAAAATTATCCAATTATAAAACCCCAACAACATGCATCCGGACACTTGATGACAAAGCTTCTGTGAAAGTTTGAACAAAATCCAATGAGAAATGTAGGAGAAGTTGTGCACAGAAGAAATTGTTAACTATATATTCTATATAAGGAAAAAAAACAAAGGGCCATAATTAGGTCAAATATTACCCAATCACAAAACCCCGACAATATGTGCCAGGGCACTTGGTGGTAAAGCTTCTGTGAAAGTTTGGTCAAAATCCGTTGAGAAATGTAGGAGGAGTTGCGCACAGAAGAAATTGTTTACGCCCGCCCGCCGACATACCTCAATCTAATAACCAGTTTTTTCCTTCGGTTAATAATAATGATAGTCGGTATACATATAAGCGGAGTAACTTGTATATTGACCGAAAATTTTCAGTCATAAGGATAACCTGAAAAATTGCAACATGGTTTTTGTAAAAGACACATTATATGCAAAATTTACTGTACGAAACTTTTTTAACTGAAGTAAAGATTTGATAGTAAGAGGGCTCTTTTTAAAAAATGAGTAAACTGTTTTAAGGGTCATCCACGGCAGAATGGTTTTAGGTGTTTTTTTTTATTTCAACCCACAAGCCACTCTCACCACTGTACGTTAGAGCTGCGCCAGCGCTTTCAAATTCTTTCACGTGAGAACTCTATCCAGCTTGCTTATGGGACGTCGGTAGTTCTATTAAGATGCCCGTTTTGTGCCTGAAAGATAATGCACAAAGGACGTCTTCCTCTACCAGTAAAGTCGTCATGATGTGTGACCTTTACTGTGTTGGTGCGACGCAAAACCCACAAAAAACTGTCAATAATCTGTAATACAATCCGTATGAAAAATGCTTTCCTTAGAATCATACAATAACATTTTAGTTATGAACCATAAAAGCTATTTAATAAATGTTTCTACTCAAAATGTATATTTTCCCTCTTCCCGCCCATTGTTAAAATTTGTTTCACTATTTTCCTACTTAGAGTACCTTATTCAAAATATCAACAAGGCTGTTCTCAAAGTTTGCATCAAGTTGTTTTTTGTTTTTGTTTCTTCCAGAAATATTTGGTTAATCTTGACAAATTCTAAATACTTTAAGACGTTTACCATACAAACGGTAGAGTTTTGATTTTATTAGACTTAGAAAATTCATTGTACGTAATAATTTGAAATTAAACAAGTATAATTTAACCAACAAATACCTGTAATGATCAAAAATAAATACTTTTATTTATAAAAAGGGAATCTTGAAAATAGGTGTACAAGAATAATCGGCTCGGGTGATATAAAATCTTGCCAGGTAATATATCCACATATGTCACTCCAAAACCAAAATAACATATAATGTTTCTATCTATAAGGGTTTGAACCCTCGATCCTTAATTTCAATGCAGCTAACAATATTCTAGCTTATTTAAATACTCTTCAAAGTAGATGTACTTGAAAGGGAATGATTTTGCTTTTTTTAGATACCATTTTTCAAAGAAATAATAACATGTGTCATTAAAACCACAAGAAATTTATTCATGAAAAACAAGGCATTTTCAACACAAATATACAACCAGAATCAGAATTATATAATCATAGAATCTACCTAAAATGATTGTTAAAAATTTAAAGATGTCTGTGTATATGTTCGTCCTTGTTTGCTTTTACCTGTTAATTAAATATATACTATGCTCAAATTTGATATTTTAAAATAATGATAATTGCTACACAATCTCCTTGTAAATATAAAATAAACATATTTTAGTAGACACAGAGAAGATATGTCTACACACTATAGGTAGACACAGTATGAATATATGTATCAATATAAAAAAATGTCAGTTTTTTTCTTTTTTTTGAAGGACAAAATAACTTGACCAGTAATAGAGAATACAACTTCCAAAACATAGTTAATGCATTCTCATATTTAAATAATTCATAATGTTTATTATGAATTTTCTTGACTTCAATACATTTCTGCAATAAATGTATCTTACCGTAAGATGACCAAAATACATCTTTAAGGCTTTATTATTAAAATATGAGTGAGTGATAAGTTATTTTGAGAAGTCTATGGTAACAGCTTTATTATATGACACTCATGAGATACTTCAAAATAAATACATTGGTATATTGTAAAAACAACATCTTAACAATTTAACAAATTTAATTTGGGTTCAATTATATCAAGTTCTTATTCAATTTCAAACAATTTGAAAATGAAAAATAAATTACTACAATCATAGAACGGTCATACATACATAAATACTACATTATCTATTCATTAAAATTTGTTTGACGATCTATGTATTATGCTTATTGTCTCGGTATGTCTCTTTCAGTAACACCTTTTACAGCAAGATCATTTTTAACTCTTTCGAAGTAACCGGGATCTGGGTAACCATTTCTGTAAAAAACAGATACAATCATGTTAAATGAAAACCAAATTTGCTTATTTGATATCAAAATTCCAGAAATTATATATAATTAAAACAATATTATGATTACCAAGGTTATTGAATATATTAACATACATCTATCATGTGTACAGTAAAGAAGAAACTATGCATGTTGGCTCTAAATAAACAATGTACTCGTATATATAGGGCATGCTAACCATGATTTAAAATACTTTGCTTAATGTAAATTTCTATTTTTATACATGTAATTACATAAAGACAAGCAATAAAGCTTAGCGAATAAAAGCAAATCAATAAAACGTCAGCGAGTTCTGCATTTTGATTTAATAACACATGCAACAACCATACAAAATTTCTAGCGTCAAAAGTTGATTGGATTATTGATAGTGAAAAAACAAGCAAATTGTTCTGTAATTTAGAAAAGAGTAATTATATAACAAAACCAATTTTCAGTGTAATTAATGATGATGGAACAGAAATTTCAAATCAGACGGACATTCTCAAAGAAATCCCGGCTTTTTATTCCAAACTATATTCAGCAAACAACATAGAAAATTCAAATGAAACTTTCAAATATTTTATTGACAGCTTAACTTTTCCCAAATTATCAGAAAATGATGCTGCATCTATAGAGGGACCAATAACAATAAATGAGGCGTCATATGTTTTAAAAAATATGGCTAACAATAAAAGGCCAGGAACTTCTGGCTTTAATGCAGACTTTTATAAAGTTTTTTGGAACCGTATTGGTATGTTTGTTTGTAGGGCTTTAAATCATGCTTTTTCGTCAGGGTCTTTGTCGCTTACGCAAACTCAGGGAATCATCACATGTATTCCGAAAGGAGAAAAATCTAGAAAATATTAAAAAAACTGGCCACCAATTACTCTGTTAAATTGCGTCTATAAAATAGGATCAGGCTGCATTGCAAATCGTTTAAAGAAATTTTTAGATAAAATAGTTAGTAATGATCAAACAGGCTTTATTAAAGGCAGATTTATAGGCGAAAATACTAGATTAATCTATGATATTATGAACTAAACAGAAGAAAAAGATATTCCTGGTTTACTCCTTCTAAAAGATTTTGAAAAGGCTTTCGACTCATTATCTTGGAATTTTGTGCTACAAACTTTAACCTTATTTAACTTTGGAAACGATATTAAAAGATGGTTCGCTATATTGTATAAAGATAGTGTATCTACAATAAGTCAGTGTGGTTTTCTTTCTGGCTTTATTAAAATTCAAAGGGGCTGTCGTCAAGGAGACCCTTTAAGTTGTTACATTTTTATCTTATGTGCAGAAATATTATCCATAAAAATTAGATCAAATGAAAAAATCAAAGGTATTAAAATAAATGGTATTGAACATAAATTATCTCAATTTGCAGACGATACAACTGTTATACTTAATGGCACTGATGAGTCTTTAAATGAAGTCCTAAACACACTAAAGTCTTGTTCTTTATTTTCAGGTCTTAAGGTTAATTTTGATAAAACCAAGATTGTTTGGATTGGTAAACTTAAATATAGTACAAATAGCATTAAAACTAAATGGAAATTATCTTGGAACCAGTCTTCTTTTGATATGTTAGGTATAAAATTTCATGTAGAACTTATGAAAATGGTGACAATTAATTATGATGAAAAAATGAATAAAATGCGGAAAGTATTATCCAATTGGAAACGAAGAAATTTAACTCCAATCGGAAGAATCGTAGTCGTTAAATCTTTATTGTTATCAATATTCACACATTTATTTACAACTCTGCCAAATCCAAGTCCTTATATAATTAAAGACTTAACTGAAACTTTCAGAGATTTTGTCTGGCATGGTCAATGTAAAATTAAGCAAGACGTCTTTAGACAAAGCATTGATAAATGTGGTCTAGGAATGATAGACGTTGAAGCATATATTTACTCTTTAAAGATATCTTGGATACGAAGAATTTTAGTCAATAATGGATAGGTTTGGCACGCTCAATTTTTGATATAGAGAAATTAATTAATTGTGGTATAGGGTATTTAGAAAAAAAGGTTAGTGAGATAAATAATGAGTTTTGGAAGGACACTTTGAATGCATATTATATGTTCTGTAAAATTGTTGAAACAAATGAAAATGAGTTATATTCTCATCCAATTTTCTATAACCCTTTAATAACTATTGGCAATCAACCAGTGTTCTTTATAAACTGGTTTAATGCAGGTGTACATGTCATAGGTGATCTTTTGAAATCAAATGGACAATTTTATAGTTTAAATGAATTTAATGACAAATATAACATAAAGTCTAACTTTATACATTATCTTGGTATTGTAAATAGTGTATCCAGTTTCCTGTCATCTTATGATAGAACATGCAATGTCCTACATAGACCTTTTATACCACCTTTTTTAAAAGTTATTTTAAAATTTACTAAGGGTACACATCCTATGTATGAGACCAAGATAATACCTACTTGTATATCAAAATGGTGTGAAAAGCTCAATGTAACATAAAGTGAAGAAGATTGGAGTTACATTTTTTCTTTACCTTTTAAAATATCAAATGATTCAGGCCTTCAATGGTTTCAGTACAGAATTAATCATAGAATAATAGCAACTAATTACTTTTTAAAATGAAATTAAAAGATAACGAACTCTGTAGTTTTTGTAAAAATGAGAAAGAAACATTAGAACACATGTTTTGGTTTTGTCCGATAATAAACAATTTAATATTTTCTGTTTTTGAAAAGTATGGCATTTTTAGATCTTTGCTTAACTGTTGTAATTTTATCCTTGATTTGAAAGATTAACTAATTCAACTGCAATAAATATGATTTTCCTTTTTTTTGAAAAGATATATTTACAACTGTAGAGTAAAAGAACAAGTACCAAATACTACAAGAGCACATCAGTATATTAAGTACCAATTTATAATTTTGAGAGAGAAAGCAATTTACCAAAATGATTTAGATGCCTTCAATAAGACCTGGATTCTTTTTGTCAAAAGATAGAGCTATAGTTAACCTTTCATATGTTTGTAAAGCTGAAAACGATAGCTAGAAGTATACATGATCAAAAATATATTACTTGCAAAACCAAAAAAAAAAAAAAAAAAAAAAACAAAAAAAAAACTGATGAATAATTAATGTGAAATACCCCCTAGATGTTCATTCTAGCACCTGTATTGCTTGTTCCGTACTTTAATCCTTTCTAACATAGTCATCTATCATCATCATTATGATAATATTGTTTCTATATATCATTATACATATTTCCCTATACTCTGTTATATGAACATCTACTGTAATTATATTTCCCTATACTCTGTTATATGAACATCTACTGTAATTATTTTGGATTACATTATACATGTATTATGTAAACACAATGTTATCCCTCTATTCTGTGCTGTACAACACAAAATGTATAACAATTAAAGTGTTTTATTATATATGTTTTGAAACAATGGAAAAAAAAATAATAAAAGGCTCTTAGTCTTCCAAAAAAAAAAAAAAATTAGCGTCTCTCAGCTGTTTTCATGCCGCTGGGCCGCAAACTTCACACATCTTAGTTAAATATATATAAAAAATTAAAGTAGAAATATTTTTGGTTGACCTTGGCTGTAATAAATATCAAAGGCACACAAATAACCACAATAAATTTCAAATAACTGGAATTGTGATCTTCATAAAAAAGGAATTTAGTGGAAAAGAACTTAATATGACGCCAATGAAAAATAATATAGTTCACTTAACATGTTCTGGTTATCAAAATTTATCATTAGATGTCTTACTGTTGGTTAGGTCCTGGGTTTGTTTTATGGTGTATATCAGTCCATGTAATCACACCCTCCTGTCCGGTTGTCCTTGAATTTCCTATTGTAAATACCAATTTCCTTTTGAATGCTATCTCCAACATAGCTAATATTTTACGGCCTTCGTCATTGTTTGGAAGGTAGGCAACCGATGTGACCCCTCTATAGGTGGTTCCAGGGCTGGGATGGTCAGGCTAAAATAGTATTATATCATATTGATATAAAGCAACGATTCTAATTATCAATAAAAATACTCAAAATAAATGCACTTTGATTTGTAAGTCATAAAAAAAGAAAACCTTTAGCTGCAGATATATCATTTATTTAGTGTAAAATAACTATGACTGAAAAACATTCTTAGCACCTTTGAAACAAAAAAAAACATGACATGATTATAAGTATGATATGTTTACACATATACTGTGTTTTCAATTACTCTGGCTCTGGGAACGAGATTTTCCTCTTAAACAGGTTATGATTTTTCTTCCAGACATGTCATCTGTCATTCCCTTAAAAAGCTTTTTTGAAGCACAGAGTGGTGATTATTTAACTGCATGCGGTGGTGGTGATGTTGGTAGTTTTCCATTCGGATCACGGAAGTGAGCCACATTGAATTCCCTCTGGGAAGGCTGTCAAATAGTTTACCAGTTTTAGTTGCCTTCACTTTTGCAAGGAACTAAAACTTCTGTACATACCAGAGCAGAGGTACAGTGCGAATGCCGTAGTAAAGATTTCATGATCAGTCTCAACGAAAGTGACCTGTGCCGTCCGGGAATCAAACCCGGGCCGCCCAATCCACAGGCCAACGCTCTTCCTATTGAGCTAACCAGACGGGTTTTATCACGAAGTATATGTGCTGACAGAAAACTACAATAATGTTGGTTTTTCATTGATAAAAATTCAAAGAAACATATAAATAATATTATACCAGAAATTCAAAAGCACAAAACAGTATGCCTAAAAAATAATCAAAAATCAAATTGCTATGCTTACAAATATTAAGCGTAAGTAATGAATGACATCAAATAAAAAATACAGTTACTTATTGTTCCTCTACCTTTATGATTATCTTCTCGTAAGTGCGGACAAACAGACGGACGGAGCCTGTTTCTATATAAAAGGCAGTTACAATTATCGGTTTTTAAAAATCCTTCATAGAGACCGAATGAACATTCTGTTACTTTTTCATATTTTAACATTTTCTTTTAGGATAACTAATTTATTTAATTACCCCTTGCCTGCCTGAAGGGAAGATGTAAGTTATTACGATCATTCCATATCCTTCATAGCCAGCACAGTCAGTTTTCTTTTCTACAATATATCTCATGTCTCCATTCGGTTGATCACCTTCATAATGAATGGCATATTTTCAATTTTCAGATAAATTAAATTTCTAAAAACAGCTAAAAACTGATGTTGACCGTAACAATTCAGTAATAGGAAAAATTTGTAATCAAGAGAAAAAGGGGGCCAACGACATAAATTATTTTATGTGTTCATAAAATCTTATTTATGTATTGTCCAGAACAGGGAAAGAGCAGTCTAGATCGAACTCGTTTGGAATGAGGAAAATATAAACAAACACGTGTTGAATGAAAAAGGGCATTTATTGAAAATGCCATAACTGACAATTATTAAAACTATTACATGTAAAACATGTTATAATAATTTTCCAAATGGTAAAACTGGGAGGTTACAAAACCGCCAAAATTGCATGTAATAAATGTTCTTAATACAGAAGACTTGTAGATGGCTTTTGAAAAATATAAAGTATTCAGTATTTAAAAAGAGGAAAGATATATTTATTTTGTAGAGAAAGAAAGAAAAAGAGAAAGAAAAAAAGAAAAATCAATATCATACCTATTATGATACCACAAACGTGACCACATGTTGGGCATGCTGGTTTGGATTTGAACTGTGCGTCAATACAACCCTTACAAAAATTGTGACCACAGTTTAGTCTTACAGGGTCAGTAATTGTATCCATACATTTCATACAGTATTTATCCTGTAAGATCCAAAACATAAACTAAATAGATCGAAAAATACAAAATAAACACAGAATCAAAATAAATGGAACCATAAATAATCAAAACTTCGCTTCGTTTTCTATTCTCCCTAATTGTACGAAAGATGAAGAGCCACATGTTCAAGCACAAATACAGAAAGTAACATCAATAATTATCAAATCAAAAGCAATCCTTACATATTTGTCCAATAGTTTCAAAGGCATCGACACTACTGTATTATGTGCGATGGCAAAGACTTTGACAACCTTTGAGTGTGTTTCTTATGGCGTTGTCAAAACTTGCCGACTATTTAACGTATTCATGTCACATGATGTGGTTAACTATGTTTGCTGTATGAATATATGAGCTGTTTAATTCTAATTCGTCCTGTTTTTTTGCAAAGTCTTAGAGGCTAAATTGCGCATTAGCACAGTGTTTTGTTTTAAATTCTTGCAAAAGGGTATTGAATTTGGGGCTTTGTTCCGGTTATTTGAGGATCATTCCTCGTATATCTAACAGTTCTCACATGATGTAATTTTTATTTACATGCATAACATGATTCTAATGTGTTAATCCACGTCAGCAGATATCACTTATAAAGTTTTTTGATAGCACACTTTTTCACCGTAACAAGATACTATGGTATAAATGATGTCCCGATTGCAAATAACAGACTGAGATGTCTTTCTGTATGACATATCTATATTTAAGGCTAGTAAAACAAACTTCAGTTCGGACTATCGAATTTTCATATATATTTATACAGTCGTATGATCACGCTCTGTACAGTTTGCCTTTCAGTAAGTACAAATTTAAAAAAAAACAGGAACGTGTTTGTTAAACACAAATGCCCCCGGCTCAGATTTTTGTCAGTAGCAATATTTTAAAAAATGTTTACCCATTCACTCAGTTATGGACAGAAAAATTGCCAAAAAATTGTAAACACAAGTTATATAGCTTCACAAAGTCATGGCATTTTGTAATTGTGAAAAATATAAGTTGCCAAGTCATTGCTCTGACTTGTGAAGTTGAAAAATATTCAACTTCATGCAAGTTATCTTCCTACCAAATATGAAATGCATCTGTCATTAAATAAAGGCTGTATGGGGAAAAGTGTAAAGATGTATTTTGAGCACTGGGGACCTTGACCAAACTGACCCTTTACTCTATCCAAAAGAAGAATACCATGTAAGTTATCTTCCTACCAAATATGAAATACATCTGTCAATAAATAAAGGCTGTATGGGCAAAAGTGTAAAAATCTATTTTTAGCACTGGTGACCTTGACCCAACTGACCCCTTACTCCATCCAAAGGAAGAATATCATGCAAGTTATCTTCCTACCAAATATGAAATACATCTGTCAATAAATAAAAGCTGTATGGGCAAAAGTGTAAAAATATATTTTTAGCACAAGTGACCTTGACCCACTGATCCCTACCCCAATCAAAAGGATGAATACCATGCAAGTTATCTTCCTACCAAATATAAAATATATCTGTCACTTAATAAAGGCTGTATGAACAAATGTGTAAAAAATCTATTTTTAGCACTGTGACCTTGACCCAACTGACCACTAACTCCATCAAATGTTATGTTTCTATCAATTATAAATAACATCTGTCTATAGAATAAGGTCAATACACCTGTAAAATGTAAAAATCTATTTTTTACATTGGTGACCTTGACATTGGTATCATTGACCTTGACCCAAATGACCCCTTAATACACCCAAAGAAGGAGGACCTCCCTTGGCATATTTGTATTAAACCAAGACATCAACTAAAAAATAGAGGCTGTATGAGCAAAAATGATTCTATTTTTTTTAAACCAGTGACTTTGACCTTAACCCTAGAAACCGCTTACTCCACAAAAAATAAGAGGACCATCAAAGGTATCCACCTACTAAATATGAAAGGTATCGTTAATTAAATTAAGCAATTAGTAGAAATTTAAGATAAATCCAACTTGCCGAAATAGGTTAACCAGACAAGGCCCTATTTTCAAAGTGAAAAAAGGGAAATAACTGGGAAATATGGATGACACAGTTATATAACTTGGCAATATCATGTACTTTGTATTGATAAGTAAGTGTGGAAATTATAAAGCCACTAGTATAGATAGAACTTAAGATATTTCCAACTTGCCGTTTTAGGATAACCATTATTCATTTTCTAAGTGCTGAAAAGGGCAATAACTTGGTAGATATTAAAGCCAGAGTTATGTAACTTGCCCAGATCATGTACTTTGTATTGATTAGTGTGTAAACTAAGAAGCCATTGGTACAGGTAGAACTTAAGAAAAATCAAACTTGCCGTTCTAGGTTAACCTCGTACGGACAGACGGACGGGCGGACGGTTCATTTACTATATGCCCGGGGGCATAAAAATTAAAATTGGTGAATAATTTTGCCAAGATTAAAACAATGGCATGTTAAAATATTCCTGAAGCTGTAAAAAGTTAAAAATACCAAATAACGTAGCCAGCGTGAAATAAGCAATAACATAATGTAACTGTGAAACATCACCTCCTAGTTTCCGGCACCTTTGATTACTAGTAAAATGTACACATTACATCAAACCTAACAGTTTCAAAACTATTCTTTATAAAATTCTTAAGTTCACAGACATTGACATTGATTTTACCTTCTGGTTTCCGGCAGCTTTGAGTACTTCCTCTTTACTTTTTAATACTTCCTTCTTAGCCTAGAAATAATTAAATATACGTAAATGATGTACTCATAACATCAGATCCTAATACATTTTCAAAAAGTGTACTAGTACTTTATAAAAATCTTAAATTCATTTTAAGTACGTTTGAAGTTAAAAGAACATGCATCTTTGAATATAATGTTTACTTACTTGCTGTAATTCTAATTCTTTTGCCTTCAAACTTTCTTGCCATTTCTTTTCTTCTGCTTTCTGGCAGTTTTTTAGATAATGCAATGATAAATCCTAAAATATGATTGATTTGAGGAATAATATAAAATATGTAACTTTTTGTTTAGTGTCATAAAACATTGCGAGAACACCATAGGACGATGAAATGATGGAGCTCAAATTATCAAGGGAAATGTAGTGAGGGAAAACATTCCAAAGACAATGTAACGGCTAATGGTAGATCTTTCTTGGTTAATGTAACGGAAGATGCTATCAACTCTCAATGTTAATGTAACGGAAGATGCTAGATCAACTCTCATGGTTAATGTAACGAAAAATGATAGATCAACTCTCAATAATAATGTAACAGAAGATGCTAGATCAACTCTAATGGTTAATGTAACGAGAGATGATAGCTCAACGCTGAATGTTAATGTAACGGAAGATGCTATATCAAGGGTGAATGTTTATGTATCGGAAGATGCTATATCAACTCTCAATATTAATGTAACGGAAGATTCTAGATCATCTCTAAATGTGAATGTAACGAAA